GCTCCCGTTCGCGTCCATCTGGCTCCACAACAACTTCAAGTTGCCATGATACCTCAGCGCTACAACCGGCGCGAAATGTTAGAGCTACATGTCTGGATGGGGGCACAGACAAAAATAATATGATGCGGCACCACCTTCCCCAGCCAAACCAAAGTGGAACATCAAACAGATACGAACAACTGACCGCAACGCCATCGAAAACATTTGCCCAAGTTGCCATCGGGAATTTGTTCACGGTAACCAAAGTATGCTTCGTCGACCTATCGCCTGGAAAAGCGTAGTTTGATCAATGCCGTAGACGAACAGTCGAGAAAAGAACGCTTCGGTGAAACGGGCACTGGCGACTGCGGATGGAAACCCAGAGGCAGAGCCAGGCCGCATCGAGGAAAGCCAGTACAGGCAACTGGTGGCATTGCGCCCTTCCAGAAGGGAGCAATTTCCGAGCGCCCCAAGCTGATTCAATACTTGACAGCCGCAAGCTCATCATCCTGAGCCTCAACCCCATCCTGATCCCCATCTTCTCCTTTCCCCACCTGCTCATCAATACTCATGCTATCCCATGTTCCCCAAAGAGGTGCTTGCACCTAGAGATTCTTCCGTGGTCTAACCGTGCCATGCCTGCCGGGTTTTCGCCCCCGTGCCGCCCCGTGCCGCCCTCGTGCCGCCCCCGTGCCGCCCCGTGCTCCACCCTGCCGCCCCGTGCCGCCCGTGCTGCGCCCCGTACCTCCCGTGCCGCCCGTCGCCGCTACATTTTCCTTTCTAAAAAGAAGATTACACTCTACCCCGCCCGGGATTGTCAATTCCCTGTTTCGTATTCCAATTTACATATGATTCAGCCCCATCGACCATCTTAAATATAAACCCGTACCATCTCATCCGAGCCGGTATCGTATCGACCCCCCCCCCACGCCATCCTCTGCAATACAAAAATGCGCGCACACTCGTTTATCAAAAACCAGAAGTTTTCAAACACCTCTTGTGCAAACAAAAAGCGTGACGAAATTCGCACATGCGCGCTGTCGCACGCGAGTGCCAGAATCCTTCGAATACCTTGGGTTTCGCAAGGATTTCAAAAAAACTAATGTCAAATACATATACAAACACAGGGTTTCGCAACACGGATGTTTGAACAACAACTTGCGCGTGCGCTCTTGCGAGTTCTCAAGGAAACCATTTGTTTCTCATAATTTTTACAAAAAAATGCTAACAAACGGGCTTCGCGCGCGCGTGTCGAAATCGTTCGAACGCCCTTGCGCGCGCGCCGTCGCGAGAATCTTCTGCAAAACAAGAATGTGCACGCGCGCGCGTCGTCGCGCGCGCAAGCAGTCCAAAACATGCGGTGTCGTAAGGATGTCTAAATCGAGCGTCCAAAAATATATTTGAAATGAACACAAACACACATGGTTTCGCAACATCAGGTCGCAAGAAAGCATGCGCTCGCGCTCTTCCGAATTCTTAAATAAACCATGCTTTTGTCAACATGTTCATGGAATTCTGCCCAACGGGTTTCTGGCGCCGCGTGCCGGAAACATTCGCGCGCCGTTGCGCGCTGGCCCGGCTGGGGGGACACCGTCCGTTTCATGTAATGCCATGCGGCTTCCCTCGCGCGTCGGCCGCGCGCGCATGTCGAACTCTTTCCGAAGCTTCCATCGCCGACGCGAAGACGCAGTCATCGTCGCCCGCGGGATCAGCATCGGCGCCGTCACTGGCCGCGCCGTTATCGTTGTCGACATCGCCACCAGCATCGCTACTATCATCATCGTGTCTACCGTTGTCGACATTGCCACGATGCCGCGTTCGCATCGTTCGCGCCAGACTAGCCGGCCGCTGCGCGCGCGAGCATGCGCGGGCTAGCGTGGCCGCAGAGATGCACCAGCCAGCAAAGCACTCAACGCAATCGCCTCCGCATGGGTTTTGCAAACCAAGTTGTGCGCGTGCGGGTGGGATGATTGCGCGAGCAGTGGAATTGGCAACTTCATGTCCGGCAGGGTGAATTGCGCCACGTAGATTGCACAACATAGCTTGCACTACATAGGTTGCACAACATAGATTGCACCACGTAGCGTGCACCTCATAGATCGCACTACATAGATTCTCCTTTCTAAAAAGAGAATAGACTCTACCCCCCCCCGGACTTACCGGTTCCCCCTGGGATAGTATGATTTCATATATATATATATATATATATATATATATATATATATATATCTGCACACTCGTCCATCCTAGATATGAAATCATCCCATCCCAGCTAGGCCGGTTCCCCCCCCTGAGGTTCCCTTGTTGAAAAACACTGTGCGGTGACATTTTTGTTCTAACATAGCACTTGTTCACGAATCCCTTGCAACAAATGAGACGAAGTGCACACGCGCGCGTCGTCGCGCGCGCATGCCGAATCCTTCAAAAACCTTCGGTGCGGGAAGGATTTCGCAATCGAGCTTCCAACAAACATGCAAAAACACAGGGTTTCGCAACACAGAGTTGCCAAAAAAACTTCCGCGAAAGCTCTTGCGAAATCTTAAGAAAACCATAGGTTTTTCAAAACTTTCACAAAATGCTACCAGACGGGCTTCGCGCGCGCTCATGTCGAAATCTGTCGAACGCCCTTGCGCGTGTGCCGTCGCGAATCCCCTGCAAAAAATGGGACGAAGTGCAGACGCGCGCGTCGTCGCGCGCGTATGCCGAAAACCTTCGAAACCAATCGGTTTCGGAAGGATTTCAAAATCGTGTGTCCAAAAAACCTACAAAAAAACACAAGGTTTCGCAACATGGATTTTCAACAAAAGCGTGCGGGCGCGCTCTTGCGTCGTCGTCGTCGTCGTCGTCGTCGTCGCCGTCCTCCCTCCTCCCGCGTCGTTGTCGTCGTCGTCGTCGCCTACGTCGTCCTCTGTCCCTCCTCGTGTTCGTCGTCGTCGTCCTCTTTGGCGTCGTGGTCGTTTCCGTCGTCGTTGTCGCCGTGGTCGTCCTTCCTCCTCCTCCCTCGTCGTCGTCGTCGTCCGTCGTCGGCGTCTCGTCGTCGTCCCTCCTATTTCGTCGCCGTCGTCGTCGTCGTCGTCGTTGTCGTCGTGTCGTCTTCCCTCCTCCCTCGTCGTTGCCGTCGTCGGCGTCGCCGTCCTTCCTCCTTCTTCGTCGTTCGCGTCGTCGCCGTCCTCCCTCCTCCCTCGTCGTTGTCGTCGTTGTCGCCGTCGTCGTCCTCCCTCCTTCCTCGTTGTCTTCGTTGGCGACGTCGTCGTCGTCTTCGTCGTCGTCGTCGGCGTCGGCGTCGTCGTCGTCGTCGTCGACGTCGGCGTCGTCGTCGTCGCCGCCGTCGTCGTCGTCGTCGTCGTCGTCGTCGGCGTCGTTGACGTCGTCGTCGTCGTCGGTGTCGTCGTTATCGTCGTCGTCGGCGTCGTCATCGTCGTCGTCGTTGTCATCGTCGTCGTCGTCGGCGTCGGTGTCGTCGTCGTGGTCGGTGTCGTCGTCGTCGTCGTCGTTGTCGGCGTCGTCGAAGTCGTTGGAGACGTCGTCGGTGTCGTCGTAGTCGTTGTCGGCGGTGTCGTCACCGTCGTTGTCGCTGTCGTCGTCGGCGTCGCTGTTGGTGCCAAGTGCCATGTGGTAGCCACCGTCACGGTCTCAAGAGATTTTGCAAACCAAGTTGCGGGTGGGTGGGTGGGATGTTTGCGCGAGCAGTGGAGTGGACAACTCACTGCGAACAGAAATTAGTTGCACCACATAGATTCTCATTTTCCCCTATACATGGAGTCCACCACCCTCCCGAGGTCGCAATTCTCACTACCCCCGGGGGATGTACAATTTACATATGATTCTGCCCTTCGTCCACACAAAATGTGAATTCACACCATCCCACGGGGGCGGCCCCAAGACGGCCCCCAAAGCACCCAAGAGCCCTCCAAGAGGGGTCCAAGAGACGAGTTCAGGGGCTCGCGAGGGGCGATGTTCATTGAAGCTCCTTGATCGATGTCCTCCCAGATGGCACCGAGAGGGCCGCCAAGGCTCCCAAGAGTGGCCCAAGAGGGCCCCCAAGAGGGCCCCAGGGCGCCCAGGAGGCCCCAAGAGGTCCCCGAGAGATCTCCGAAGAGATCCCTGAAAGGCCCGAAGAAGCTTCCCCTAAGCACCCAAGACGCTCCAAGAGGCCCCCAGGACCGCCAAGGGGCCCCCGAGGCGTCCCAAGAGGACTCCAAGAAGCTCTCAAGAAACATGCGAAGAGACTCCGAGAGGCATCCGAACGGCATGTGGCCTTTCTGCTCGTCCTCCTGCTCATCTTCCTCCGCCATCTCATTGTCCTCCTCATCTTCCTCATCCGCCTATTCCTTCTCCTCCCTCCTCCCTCCTACCCCTCCCTCTACTCCGCCTCCTCTCCTCCTCTCCTCCTCGGGTTCCTCCTCCATCCTCCACCTCTTGGAGTACGACGGCCCCCCAAACTGTTTATTCCACTGCATGCTCCTCCACATCCCTGATCAAGGCAACTCGCCTTGACATCGCTTATGGTGCGGTTGCTCGAAGCGGTTTCGCCGGCCAGCAGGAGACCCGAATTGGGGTCGCGCTGGGTGAAGACCCGAATGCAAGGAGGCACTTCAAGGAGGCACTTCCAGCAATGACAAGAATGTGTACAAGGCCTCGTGAGGCGAGGACTCGGGACGGGTTGGTGGATTGCAACTTCGTTGGTGCATCTTGGCCTTACCCTGGTCTTCTCCCCTGCTCCCCTTCATCCCTCCTCATGATCCTCCTCCTCGTCGCCCCATTCGCCTTCTCATCATCCTCTCCTTCCCAATCACCATCCGTCTCCATCACCCTCCTTCTCCTCCTGCCAGCCTCACCCGACTCCCCCGCAAGAAGGGCACGTGCGAACGCCTCGTCTGCAGCTGGAAAGCGCAAACATGCAGGGCGGGGAGCGGGGCGGGAGGTTCGCGGGTGAGACTGGAAACGAAGCGAGTGGGTATGGGGTGCCACGCGCGCACCGAGACCGAAAGGAATCGTACGACAGCACATCGCAGCACATC